CCGTAATGAGTTTAGTCTTATACAGGTGGCTAGTATAAATTTTAATAAGAGATTTCCTAAAAAAACATTTCACCAAAAACAAAAAAAAGAAATATAATTGTGTTTTTTTATTAAATATCTTTATATATTTTATATAATGGATTATCAATTTATTTTAAAAAATTAATTATAATAAATACCTACTTTATTTTTAGAATAATTAATATATAAATAATTTAATAATATATAACACATTTTTCACTTTTATATAAACCAAAAAGAAAATAATTAATTAAACATAAATTTTAAGTAAAAAATTAAACAATTACATTAAACATAATTTTATTTAAAATAAAAATATAACTAATATAACAATAAATCAGTAATTATTACGTGTAGGAAATTAATAAAAAAATATAATTATATATATTTAGCTTAACAAAAAAGCCCCAAAAAAATAATAAAATAAAATAAAAAAAAACCTAAAAAAAAAAAATCATGAATAAAAAAAAACCAATAATAATTTTTTTCCTAATTTTATTAATATTCCAAATAAAAACTCAAACTCCAGAAAAAGAAGAAGATATTCATATATTAACAGACACAAATTATAGCGATATAATATCCCAAAACGAATTTGTATTAGTCGCATTTTACGCCCCATGGTGTGACCATTCAAAAAAATTATTAGCCGAATATAAAAAAGCCTCCAAAGAATTAAGAGAGGAAAACCTTTAAGTAATATTAGGAAAAGTTGATTGTATATAATAAAGGGAATTAGCAATAAAATATAAAATCGAAGCATTTCCTTCTTTACGTTTTTTTCGAGAAGGAAATGTAGATTAACCCGAAGAATATAACGGCGGTCGAAAAGAACGCGACATATTAAATTGGGTAAAGAAAAAAAAAGGTATTATATCTGAATTAATATAAAACGAAAATCAACTATAAAAATATATTCAAAAAAATTAATTATTAGTAGTCTATTTCGGTAATAACAACCAAGAAGAAAGCTTTGACATTTTTAAGAAAATAGCATTATAATACGATGATATTTAATTCGGACATATATTCGATTCTCAACTTAGGGAATCTTTAAAAGCTTAAAACCTCTAATTAATACTTTTTAAGAATTTTGATGAAAGAAGAAACGATTTTCCTTCACAAAACTTAACCGAAGAGTCTATTTAAAATTTCATAGATTAATATTCACTTCCTTTAGTTATTCCTTTTGATGATAATGCAGTTGAGAAAGTTTTTTAAGAGCAATATCCGACCCTTTTTTTGTTTTCAAATGAGGAGTCTGAAAAAAGTATTTATATTGAAAAAATATTTAATGAGGCAGCTAAAATAAATAAAGGGAAAATTCTCTTTTCCGTTTCTAAAAAAAATGATGGATATGGAAATTTCGATAAATTAATTGAATTAATGTCTTTAAATAAATAAGATATTCCTTTAATTTTACTTTTTAGGAATTCAAATGAAACATAAACTTATTTATTTGATCAAGAAATTTCAGTTGATAATATTAGTTCATTTATAAATAAATATTTGGAATAAAATATTTAATAAAATAGTCTTTTTATTTAAGATTACAATTAGGATCTTTTTTAATAAAAAAAAAATGTCTTAATTGCATTTATTTAATAAAAAAATGAATAAAGTAAAAAATTGTTAAATATTATGGAAAAAGTAGACGAGTATATTAAATAAAATAACTTAGATGTAATTCTGGCAAAACAAGAAGAAAATAATTAAGATATTAATAATATTCCTTATATTAGATTACATCAAAATAGTAAATAATTTATTTAATATGACGAATAATTAGAATTTGATTTAATTACTAAGTTTATTAGAGATAATATAATGTATTTTTAAATATTTTATTATAATATTAATATTTTATAAAAGGAATGAATAAAAATAACAACAATAACAAAATTAATAACAATAAATATAATAATAATAATAAAAAGAATAATAAGAATAATAATAAAAAGAATAATAATAATAATAATAATAATAATAATAATAATAATAATAATAATAACAATAAAACTAGTAATAAGAATAATTAGTATAATAAAAACCTTAATAAGAAAATAATAAAATAGAACTCTGATTTATTTTATAATAATATTTTTTTTTTTAAATAAAATATTTATACACAATTGATTATAGAAATTAAATTTTTTTAAAAAAAAATTTAAAAATTTAAAAAAGTACCTTTTATATTATTATTTATATTATTTAATTTTTCTGTTATCACTTTATTATATTTTTTTTTTTAAATTTTTCTTTTTTTTTATTAATTAACTATTTAAATAAATCTATCATTTATATATATATATATATATATAATAAATATATAAATAAAAAAAAAATGAATTATAATGTAAAAACATTGTAAAATAAAGGTAAAATTTTTTTTTTTTTTTTAATAAAATAAATAACAAACAAACAAATTTTATTAATCATAAAAATAAAAATAGATAATTAATATTATGATACAAAATTAACATCAAATTAAGTGAAAGAATTTTTATAAAACTCAACAGAAGAATATGAGTAAAATATAAATTAAATAAGCATTTATCTCACATATAAAAAAAATAGTGATTTTTTTCAAACAATAAAGGATTAACAAAAATTAGAAAAAATTATACTAAAATAAACATTTTTATAAGAAAATTAATTATTTGATCCTATCGATTATTTCGGAGGATTAAAAATATTAAGTTTAGATAAAAAAATAGAAGACAAAAGACTATCAGATATGTTTTCCATAAACGAACAATAAAGTAACCCCCCCCCCCCCCCCCCATAAATATAAAAAAAATAAAAAAAATAAAAAGATAATAGACAAGAAAATATTATATTTTTATAAGAAGATGAAAATTCATAAAAGCAAGCAACAAAATAATGCCAAATAAACTTAATATAATAAACATAAAATAATAAATTACAATAATAAAATATTATAAACAATTAATAAAAATAACTTACAATACCTTAAAATTCTGACCCAGAAACAAATACAAAATCCAGCAAAATTTTACAAAACAATCATATGTAATTATTACAAGCAGTCGAATAAATAAATAAAATAACAAAAGAGTTAAATGAGGATAATGACCTTTAATTTTAAAATAAATAACAAAAAATAGAAATTCTTGAACAATAAATAAATGTATATTAGAACTACATAGATAATCAAAAGCAAATATACTATCAAATAAATAAAGAAAACCAAAATACTCTCCAAAATTAATATAAAAGAAGTAAAAGTAATCATATAGATACTACTAGTAATTAATATAATGATATATTATCAAATTATTAATCTACAAAAACTTCAAATAAAACTTTGAATTTTTAAGAAAATTCAAAATAAAAGAACCCTTAAGTTTTTAAAACTAGTATATAATAATAGCAAAAATAGTAAACCAATAAAAGTAAAGAATGCTCCTTTTACAAAAAACAGCCTATAAAATAAACTTAACAAAGTATTTCTTTAAAACAAAACAATAATTCAATTAACTTCTAATAAAGTATGTAAAAAAGTACCGAAAAAGTGAATGATTTAGAATTAACATTCAATTAAACCCAAAACTAAAACGGAAATATAATTAATTCAATTGATAATAGTAAACCTAAGAAAGAAAGAAATACTTTTATTCTATAATCTATTTTTAAACCATAAAATAATGACTAGCAACCAATTATGTACATATTTTTTTTGTTTTTTGTATAAAAACTAAAATAATATATTTATATACAACAATAGAAATAAAATAACTAAATCCAAATCAATGGTTTATAATATGAAAGAAATATAAAAAAGCGTTAAAACAAGCTAAGAAAGAATCCCAAATAAACACTAACAAGAAAAGACAGTTTTAAATACTTTCCAAAAGAAAAAAATATAAAATAATCAAAGTACCTAAAATCTTCTGAAATTTTACGTAAACTAAGAAAACAATAAAAATTAAATAGACTATTAAAAAAAAAAACTATAACATAATTTTTCAACTATGTCCATTTAATCTTTCAAGAATTGTAATAGTTATTAAAAAAAGCAATCTTTATAATAATATAATAACTTTGATTATAATAGCATTAAAAGTTATTTAAGTCCTAATTATAATTCCAAGCCTATTACAAGATAAATTACACCTGATAGTATTTAATCCAAAATTGAATAAAAATAGATAAATAATACATCAAGTAAATTAAATAAATGATATATTTAAAAAAATAAATATATATATATATATTAATTTAGCAATTAATATTTAAGATCATTGTTTATAGATATCAAATAATTTATAATAATAAAACTAATATAGTTATTTAAAAAGACCTTAAGGAAAAACTGCTTATTATGATTATAAAGTATAAACTGCAAATAATACAAACAGGATATAATCACCTAACAGTAAATCACCTACTAACTATAAACTAGAACACTAGAATTTAAAGAAGAAAAATGTTTAATAAGGAGATTTTAAAAAGTATGAAATTGTGTAAAATTTAAGAAAAAATAGTAATTAATCGGTAAAAACATATAGATTAAATAATAATAGAAATCATTAAATTGAAAAAAATAATTTAACTACTTATGATTAAAACAAATAAGTATTTAATTTATAAAAATATACTAATATTTCCCATAATTATGATGTATAGGAAAAAATTGAAAAGGCACTTAATTAATTACAAAAAAATTATACTAATTATAATAGCGAAAGAAATATACTTAATTATTAATATAATTTATGATTTTTTATTATATAAATAAAATATAAATATATATTTAATTTTACGCATATCTATTATATAAAAATAACTATAATTTCACTCTTTATTTAATATCTAAAATACAATTATATATTTAAAAGTAAAAAATAAAATGCGGTAAAAAAGAATATTTAAAAAAAAATAAAAATAAAAACATGTAATTAATAAAAAAAAATCATTTTAAATTATAATTTATTTTTTTTGTCTTTTTATGTTACATAACTTTTTCATAATCAGAAGGATCTACTCTTTTTTTAATAAAACTAAAAAAAAAAGGAGGGCACCAACTAGCCAAAGTGACGTAAAATAAGTATTAAAAAAATTAAAAATCGATTTCACTAATATCAATATAATTTTTAAGCAAAAAGCAAGATAAAGCATAAATAAGAATAGAACAAAGCATAGAAATAATCATAATAATATGTATTTTATTAATCTATATAAATATATAATATATATAAATATAATTAATTAAATATATACAGAAAACAAAATATTTAAAATTTCGGAAACAATAAGTGCTGCATAAGTTATAGTTTGAATACTTATAAAAGCATTTTTGAATATATAAAAAGATAAAATCATAATTATAGTTCCCTATATGTATAATCAAAATAAAAAAATATTAAAATATTACCTAATAAATACTAACCCAAAGCCATCCAATAAAAGTCTTAGTATTTAATTCTCTATTTTTTTAAAGACTCTTATATAATGGAGGCTATTAATTTATAAAAAATATATAAAAATATATATTTTTCTTATATATATTTTTTTTTATATATAATACGTAATTTATAGCAGTAAGTTCATCCACATCTTCATCAAATACAATTGAAAAAACAGGGAACATTGTAAAAACAGTAGAATATCCTAATATTAAATATCCATTATATACTGGAATCGGGACAAAAAAGAAACAAACAATAAATATAGCTTAAATAATTGAAATGATTAGTCCTCTATGAATAACAAATTATGATAAGGCCGAACTTCTTTTATAGCTAAGTCTACCATGCCAAAGCAATAATCTATTTAAATTTTTAAATTTTTTAATGGAAAAATCTGCTGCCAAAGCCGCTTAAGTACCTTCTTTTCCAACAATTCCTATTCCTACATCTGCACTTTATATCATTCCTACATCATTACCTCCATCCCCTATACCTGCTGTTTTTTTTCCTGTATATTTCTTAATTGCCAATGTTATTTGGGATTTTTATGTAGGGGAACATCTACAACAAATTACGGTTGATGCTTTAGTTGAAATTTCAAAAAATAATTTCTCATGATTGTCTAATGCAAGTTTTAATGATATTCCATCAATAATTAAAATAGAATTATTGCTATGAGAAAATCTCTATAATTCATATTATAAGTTATATGGATCTTCAGCTTCTTTTATAATATACTCATATTATTAATTACTTTTTAATCCAGCTGAAATAGCTATACATATAGCAGTTTCTAACTAAATGAAATTATATATATATATATATATATATATGTAAATTTATTTTAATTATGAAATATTTTTATTATTTACTTTATCTCCAGTTAACATCCAAATACTTATTCCAGCATTTCTTAATGATTCTAATGTTTAACAAACTTCATCTTATAGTTTATCTTCTACGCCTGTAATTCCTAAAAATTCCATATTTTTTTCTATTGATTATAAAACTTCTTTTTTTTTTTCTTCTCTATTTTATAATTATGTATTTGCTTAAAAATAACGATTTGCCCATTCTTCATATTAATTTTAAGTAAGGTATTTTTATGTAATAATAAGTGTTCTTAAGCCTTCCCTAGCTAAATTTTCGCAAGCATCTAATAAAAAACCTCTTTAATACTCAGGTATCTGTAATATAATATATATAAAAATATAAAAGTTATAAACTAAATTTAAATAAATGAAAAAAAATTCTATTATAAAATATATTAAAATATAAATTTATAATTAAATATATTTTTATATATAATAATTAATAGTTTTAATAAATATAATTTTTTATTATAATAATAATTTTAATATATTTTTATAACAATATATATATATATATATATATTATTATTATATATTTTAATCTTTATATTATTTATTTACTTTATTTTTCATTACTGTATCTGCTCCTTTTAAATAGAAAATATATCTATTAGTTTCTAATTATTTTACTATAATTCCCATTTTTTTATTTTCGCTTGAAAATGGGAAAATATTTAAAATCTAATAATTTTCTATTTCATTGTTTCCGTTTTATATTTAAATTGATTATTAGCTTCTTTTTTATAATATAAAGCCTATATCTTCTGCTATTTAAACTAAAGCGACTTCATCCGGTGAAGAAGATTATAATTGTTTTGGTTTTCCTTCTTCTATTATAGGTGTTACATTGTGACAAACAGCAAGTGCCGTTACTAAATCTCTTATAATTTAGTTTTTATCTCTTCTTATATTTCGAATATGTTTATGTTTATTATTAGAATTAATTATATTTTAACTCTCGTTTTCCATTTTTAAATAATACTATTCAACATCTACCATAGGTCCTAATCTATAAAAAATAAAAAACAAAAAAACAAAAAATTATTACGATTTCTAACATTAAGACCTAACAATTTATTTTAAATCTTCTATTTCTTCATAAGTAAACACTCCTTATTCTAACTAAAGTTTTTTAAAAATCATATCATTTTATGTAAGAGTTCCTGTTTTATCTGTTAAAAGAAATTAAATTCTTCCTAATTCTTCGGGTATCTAACTAGATCTAGCTACTGTCCCTTCGATTTCTTTATCTACATTAATTTTGTAGCAATAAATAAGCTTTGCAAAATCTAAATTAACTCTCATAGAAATAGGTATAATAGAACTCAATAAAAGCACATATCTAAAAAATAATATTAAAGTATAAGACTCAAGCTTTACTCCATTTAAAATGACTAACACTAAGCTACTAATAATCATAAAAACAAATAACAATTTAGATAAATAATTCAATTCACAATCCAATTATCCAAATTTGGATCTAGTTTCTCTAGAATTCATAGCCATGCGAGTTTCATTTCCTGTAAAAATTACTAAACCTATTAAAGAAAAAAAATATGAAATAATATAAAAAAATATAAAAAAAAATATAAAATAATAATTATATAGATAAATACATAAAATATATATATATATATATATATATTATATATATTTATATATATATATATACCATATATTTATCCTGATGCTAATACTGTACTTGACCACATTGTTTATTCCAAAGAAATTGATTCTTTCACTTATTAATTATCTTCGTTTGTCAAATTTAAAACTCCTATAAATTAATATATATTTTCTATTGGCTTCTATATTTCAAAGTATCCATTTATATTCAAAATACAATCTATTCCTTATTAAATTACTTTTTAATTAATTAAATGAACAGGCTTTCTTAATTTCCAATCGGTTTCACCATCTAATTAATCCGTTTTTATAAAAACATCACCTGAATTATCACTTTTATTATTGTTTTTATTTTTTATTTTTTTTTAAAAAAAATTATATTTATTACGCAGAAGATAATAATATTAAATCTGCAGGAATTCTCTAACCTGCTTCTACTTTTATTATATTTCCTACTTTAAGGTCTGAGCTTTTTATAAATTATTATTCTTCTTTTATTTCTAAAACTCTATATTTAAAAATATAGAAATAAACAAAAATATATAGAGTTAAATTAACTTATATAATTAAGAATTGGCTTCTTTATCTCTTTTATAACGTTTAATATCATCGTAAGCTTCCTTTAGCATTGTCAAACATAAAACTAAAGATAAAGGAGCTACATAAGCAAATAAAAGTCCTACTTTTAAGATAGGAACGAATTACGATATGGCAATAATTAAAAAAAATAAATTAAAAAAATATTTAAATTCATTAAAAAGAACAATAAATACAAAAGTAAAAATAGAATATTTTTAATTCTTTACTATATTTTAAAAATAATTCTGAGGACTAACTAATCCATTTAAATATATTTTTCGCGGTGTTTATTAAATTTTTGGACCGAAAAAACGCCTGTGGACTTTATTTAAAAATGAATCCTTTTTTTTAAAAAAAAAATAGTTAATAAAAATATATATTAATATATTTTTTTTACTTTGACTTCTATTTATTATGTTTATTTTTATAATAATGGTTAAGTAATCATTTTTTTATGTTATTATTTTATTTTTCTTATTGTATTTTATTTATTTAATATTCATAAATTAAATATAATAATATTTAAATTATTTATAATATTTTTTTTTTTTTTTTTTTAATATAAAAATATATTTAAATAGAAAACAGAAAAATTTTACATATTATTATAAGTAATATATATGTATTTATATTTTAAAATTGAATATTATATTCATAAATTATACATTTTTAAAAAATTAAATACTAAAAATGTATTTAATTATTGTTTTCGATAAAAACTAATTATGTTTTTTACAAAAAAAGATAAAAATATTGAATATAAAAAATTATATTTTTTAAATTTATATATATAAATTAATTTTTTTTTATTTTATTTTTCGCAAATTTTATATGTATAAAAACGAAAAATAAATAATTAAAATTATATAAAAGAAAAAATAATAATAATTTTTATATATATTTATGTTTCACAATATTTATTTAATTTAATAAATTTAAGAATAGTTAAAATCATGTTTTCAATGGGCTTTTTAACTAAAATCCTTACATACTTTTTTTTTTATTTGCTATTATAGGACTAGAAAAATAATCTAAGCTTTAACTATCTTATTTACAAATTTATGGTAAAATCTATTTTTTAAAAAATTATAATTATATATTTAAAAAATACATTTTTTACATATTTTTTTAATTTTTTTATTTATAATTTTGTATAATTAGTATTATCATTTAAATTTAATATATAGAAAAATGTTTTATCATTTTAAATCATTAATTCTTATTTTTATTTCTTTTATTATATTTATAATTGTTTTTTAAAAAACAAAAAATAAAAAAAATTATAGGAAATAAAAAAAAAATTATAATAAAATAATTCTAAACTTTTTTTAAAAAAATTACAATTTAACTTTAATAATTTTTAATTGTATTTTAAACAAAAATACATTTTGCATTTGGTTATTTTTCCTTTATTTTTTAAAAAGATTACATCACTTAATTTAAACTATTTTAGTCCTAGTGCTAATAAACAAAAACAAAAGATCGAATTACTTAGTAATAAACATCTAAAAAATAAAATAAAATAATATATATATATATATATATATATATATATATATAAATAAAATATTTAAAAAAAACCTTCAATAATCCAATTATTAATAGACTAAGATAAATCTTATATCCATGTATGAATTAAATAAACCTAATTATTTTTTATAGTTTAATTTACAAAAAGGTCAAGCGGATTTGCATATTATTTTTCTTTTTAATAAGGCTTTTCTGGAAAAAGTTTTTATAATAATAAACTCTTCCCAATATTATCAATACCTATAATCATAAAACTATATTTTATTGGTATTTTTTCTCCTTCTAAAGGATCATAATCGTTTGAATGATTACTACTCATATCTTAATATAATAACTAATTTTTTTTATTATAAAAAAAAGTGTATTTTTACATCATCTATATCTATTGTATTTAAATTAACATTTATATCTATTTTTAAAGTTTTATACATTTTCGGTGATTTTTATTCTTATGTTTATTTATTTTTATTTACTAGTTGTATTATTATTATTTTACATGTTTATTTTAAATCTAATTAAATAATTTAATCTATTGTTTATTCTTCTTCAGCTTACTTTTTTTTTTTTAAATAATTAAAATTATATAAATTATTTTTTATTTACTATTATATATTCTTCACATGAACGTGCATAATAACCTTTACTTCGTGATCTCATAATGGTAATTATATAAAATTTACTTTCCTTTTTTATTTATTTCTTTTTAAATTGTAAATTTTGCTAGATTTTAATTTTTTCTTAATATTGATAATTTAAGTACAATCACCAATTTTTTATTTATATTAATAAAATTATAAATAATAAAATTTTGTATATACTTTTTTTAATTTGATTAATAAATTTATAAATATTTATTTTAATAAAATAACAAAAAATAAAATTATAATCAAAAAAATAAGAACAAATAGAAATAAATTACTTTTAATTTATTTTTAATATTTTTTTTTTTTAAACACATTCTATAAAAATAAAAAATATTAGAGCTTTTTTTTGTTCATATAGAATATAAAAAATTTATATAACAAAAAATAATTAAAAATTAGAAAAAGTAAAATAATTAAAATAATATATATAAATAATAATATATACATTTTCATTTATGTAAATAAATATTTAACTATTATTTTCTAATATATATTCTTATAAATAAATTTTAATATAAAAATTAAATTATGTATAAAATCTATATAAAAAAACAATAAAATTTTTTATTTAGATTAATAAATAATAGAATATATTATAATAATAAATAGATATAAAATAAAAATAAAAATATATAAAAAATTAAATAAATTATATTAAAACAATTTATAATAAAAATATGAAAAAAGAATTAAAAAATAATAAAAATTTTAAAATATATTAAAAATAAAATTATTAAAAAATATTATGTAATATATATATATAAAAAAGTATTTAAAAAAAAAAAAAAATATATTATAAAATGTGAAATAATAAATAAAAAAATA